TCCTCCTACCCCACCCGCCCCTGGGGAGTTCCCTCGCTTTTCTTTCTTTCACATACACATACCTCCTTCAGCGCGCTGTTTCTTACTCTCCGCTCTCCGCGCGGCACCCGCCTCACGCCACGCGCCCGCCCCTTTGGGCGCGCCATTGGCCCCTTTAAAAGCCTGTCATTCCCGGCCCCGTTTTCGCGGCGCGCCGTTGGGCAGGCCCGGCCATCAATCAAAAGCGGCCCCACCCTCCTCTCGTTGTGCCTCCATTGTGCCCCTGAAGCGAAGACTGCCTCCTTTGCTCCCCCCCTTTTCTCTCCACCCCGCATGATCCGGCTTGATTGGCTCACAAGGAGATGTCGCTCGAAATTTCTGCTTGGCTTCTATTGGATAGATGATCTGCTTGTCATTCATGGTCCTTCCCTTTCTCCGGTTGGACAAGGATTGGCCTCAGCGTATTCGGCGGACTGGATGTCTGTTATTTTTATTCCCGCCTCCAGGAGTCGAATGAGGACGCGGCCCGGCTTCTTAGCTTCCGATTGGAGGAAATTGGCGTCGGACAAATTTTCTACGTTCCTCCTTCAGTCGCGCCCTTTCAGGAGAACCTCTTTCCCTCCAAGCTTTATGCCTATTAGGCTGGCGGAAACGTTGTCTCTCTCCTATTGGGTACTTGGATGTCAATCAATGCCACTCTGCTTTCTTCACTGGCCAAATAAGATGCCCATCAATATTTAAGACACACCTTCTGTACCAGCTGGCCCATATTTTGTTTTTGGCACCAATTTCCCAATTCGTGCTGGATATCATCGCTCCCCTTTCCTATCAGTTGGCACGGAATGATGGCCGTCAAGGTCTTATGCCCCCTAAATAGTAGTAGTATTTATTTTGCGATCACAGACCCAATAGAATGCCTAAATAGCTGCTTGAGGGAATATGTGCTATTATCTTTTTCGTGCTTCTAACTAGGTTATTATCCTGCTTGTTTCCTGATCCCGTCAATGGATATTTCCCGCCAGAATGCCTCCACTCTCTATTGGCCCGTCTGATTTGTGAGGGTTGGACTAGCAACAACGCACACCTTATTGGTCAATTTAACTGTCACTCAACGATCCGTTCTCTAGTCTAAGGTTGCGCCGACCGGTGGAGAAATCAGTGACAATTCCCGAAAAACCCGCAACAACCAATTCCCAGTATCTTTGCAGGCGGATGCTGACTGTTTTTATGAAAGCCCCTGGATTCTTTGCCAGAATGATTTCTTTGTAGCAAGCAGCATGGTGCAGCTTTCCTGGAGTACTAAATACAAACTTTGATTCCGAACTGTAAAACAGAGACAACGTTCCCTGGTCGAAATAACTTAGAATTTCAAGAAAATAAGGGTCTCTGAATTTGTTCCCATTAACCAAACTGAAGGGAGTTCACAATCTTTTCATATAAAAATACACTCCTGGTTATCGCAGGAGTCTTCATTTCCGCAGTAACATTTAATAGGGGAGAAGAGTAATTTGGTTGCCACCATTGTTAAGTAATGAGACACTGGAAAAGCTGCAAAGTGTTCAGAGCACCAGTACATCCCAGTCTGCTTCCTGCCCATCTCTGCCTTAAGGCACAATCCTGTTCATTGCTCTGTACAGCTATGCTATCCTTGGAAGTTAGAGCAATTTAGTGATGAGAGATTGCATATAGAATTGCTTCAGCACACATCTACATATAGGAACAGAGGATGGGAAATTTTAAAAGATTTTTTTTTATTTTTTAGGAAGCAATTTTTCACAGTTACCTGTTAAAAAGTAATTCATGTGTAGTTGTAAAGATCTGGCAATGCCTAATTGTATCTAAGCATAAATTATAGCACCTTTGCTAGAAAACCAGACTGGGTCCATCTTAGGTGCCAGCAAGCTGATGGGAAGGGAAGGATTGTTGATAGATTGCAGGGCATCAGGCCATTGGGAGTTATCAAGTATCATAAGGAGGTACCCAAGGTCAGCTTGTTCTATTTCAAAGAAAAAATTTAAATTAGATTACACCGGCACTGGTGCAAAATACTTGCTGATATGCTAAGTGAACCATCTTCTAGAAAGTTCTACAGGAAACCCATTTGGACTAACTAATAGTTGAAAATTCCCAGTCAGTATTTTGAGATGCAGCAAGCAAGACTAATTAATAATTTGTGTAAAATCAGAGGCTTAGCTATGTCTATTTCTAAGGTCATCCAACTGAACAAAATAAGCTAGCTAGCTTTTAATTCTCTTGTGTAAGTGTTCTCTTGCCTATTTACTGTCGCGGCTTGCGCTGCAATAATACGCAGAGTTATCTGACTGAAGACACACACGCTCTTCTGTAACAAGACATGTGTATTATACAAATATATACAAATATACAAACTGGCAGCACTTCGGTGTAGCAGGCAATCAACAGACAAACTGGCATAGAGGATAGCAGCAAGTGAAAGAAGGAGAAGATACTTTCATGTTCACTCTGTTCACTTATATACAGATACACAGCTTCTTCTATCCAATCACAGGACGCATTACATCATCTTCTCCATGTGGGTGTCACCTCTTCTCCAGACATTGCATCATCCTTTCTTCTGTCACAGTGACTCAGCAATCACACAGCTGTACATTATGGCAGCTCATTAATGTTCCCTTAATACATGTTCAGGCCTATAAAATTACAATACCTTGACATTTACTTATGCTATATTTGTACTTTCTGCAATGTAGATGTTTATTAGTTGATTAAATTGGCTTATTAATTAAAGAGGATTTTTTTAACTTTTTCTTTGTAATTTTAACTTTTAAACAAAACTTGATTAAAAGTAAAATTCTCTGTTTGTTTTTCAGCAGGTTCCTAAGCTTAAGTGTTTAACCATTGCATTTTTTTACAGTACTGTACTATACACCTTTCTAGAATCATTACAGCTTCTAATTACTTTTTGGTCTCCCTTGCAGGGCTGATGTTAGCTTAGTGAGGAAGTGACTCAGCAGAATTATTTTCCTGGGTTTGAGGAAAGACTTCTGTGCTAGTCAGTGTAATGCTAAGATTTCCTGGTGGCAGCCTACTGTTTTGTTAGCTACTAAAATACTGTCACAGTTATTCATTGCATTGTCTGTCACTTTTTCATTACTTTGAGGCACCATAAGTTGGAACTGATTTGACAGCTCATAACACAACCATTTACAAAGGAGCGCCTTGTAGTTCACCAAAGCTTACAGCATAATAATAGCCTTTTGGATGACACAAGACTCTTTGGAAGTGGCAATTGTGTTAGTCATATAAACAAAGAACACAAAACAAAGCAAAAAAATAGATAAAGACAAAGAGTTTTGTTACAGTAGATTGGCATTCCCCCCCATGCAAATAAAATATACCCCTAAGCTGAACAAAATTCCTGCAGAAGAAATGTCAAGGTGGGACCTCAACATAAGAGTAATAGGACAGATGCATGGTGAGTTTCTGCAGTGGGGCAATCAATGTGGTTTCACCTTTCAAAGCAAGGTCTGGGATTTGACAGAAGAATGCAAATGTTTCTTAATGGCCCAGCAAGGCTCTTGAGGCTCTTGACCATTTTTAGAGGGTGGTGTCCTGGGAAACAGATCTCTGTGGAATGGCTGGAATGAAAGAAGCCTTCAGAGCTGGGCAAGGGTCACACAGCCCTGGCCTTCCCTCTTCTGCCATTGCCCTTAGGTACCATCAGGTCAGAAGAGGTCTGTCAGGATAAGTTTTAAGTATTTAAATATTTAAGGAATAGTTTTATTTTCCACCTCTTCCCCAGTGAGTTTCCATGTCCAAGTGGGGATTTGAACCCGGATCTCCTGAATCCTAGTTCATTCACATCTCCACTGCACCCTCCTGGATGTAGTGGATTGTTGTGGGGAGGAAGCAGATGTGAGGAGAGAGGAAAAGAAACTGTGTTCTCCAAGTTGGTGCTGCCCTCTCAGTCCTGCTGCCCTGCTTTTCTCACTATCCCATTTTAAATGGGGGTGTGGTGGGGTGTAGTCCAAATGGGGCAGCTTTTGGGCCAAAAGGAGAAGGGTTACCCTGCTCCATTCATGAGCTACATGTGTGTCCAAGTTTTAGAAGAGTTAGCTGCATTTGTCTGTGCTAGTATGCCAAAACAAAACAAATATGAAAAAATTAAGACAAAACATTGTGACACTGTAAACACTAACTGCTATATTTAATTGTGAGCTTCCATGGGCAAAGTCTACTTTTTGCCTGAATAATGTTGCTACAACATTTTTTTCTTCCTACATCTCCAATACTCCTGAAAACACATTTTAATGGTGTGTGTCCCTTTTCTTCTTGTTAAATGCATTTTGAATTGTATTAAGAAAGGTTTAATGTGATAATCTATTTAACGGTTGCCGTTTGTAATCCTGAAGATGACACAACATGTTTTCCTTGTCAGAAGCTTGATTTTTAAAACACTTTATTGAAGCTTTACTTGGAAGCTAAACCTGAGAAATATTTTTGTGCCAGTTCAGTCTGACTCGGATAGTTCATCTTTTTCTATGATGCTCCAAGAAAGCAGAAAGGTTTTCTTGTCTAACGATGTCTGGATGCTTCAATTTGTCTTTTTGTAGCTTTTTTTTTCCTTTCTAAATTTACATCACAAGTTGCTTTGGGTCTTGTAAGTGAGAAAGGCAGGGAATGAATGGAGGGATGTCTCCAGCATGCAGAAGAATGAAGGAAGAAAGCAGTGTGTCAGAAGAAAAATGGGAGCTAAAAGATGGAAAGACTCAGAGCTTGGAAACATTCCTGCTCCCAGAATCCCCTAACCGGTGTGGTCTCTGTGAGATTATGAAAGGTGTAGTCCAAAAACTGGTAATTTCCCCCCCAAACTCTGAAGCATCTCAGGTTTTAGAGCACACAGACATATCTGGAGATTGGACGTGAGAAACTCTAGAACGCACTGCTTTCCTCCACTTATTTAAGCCACCGTTGGCTGGAAGACGTGGGAACTGTAGTCCAATATACTTGGAGCATTCCCGGTTGGGGAAGAATGGTCTTCTGGTACATTTTCAATAAACCAGACAAACCATGTGGATGTCCCCAATCCCTTCAGCTTCCCATGAATTCCCGGTTTCTGAGAGAGCCAAAACAGGCCTTGAACTGTCAGCACCCCGCCTGTAACTGTTTCAGTTCTCTGAACTGGGAAAAATTAAGCTGCAGCCACATAAGAACAGTGGTGGAACTTTGGCCCTTGGATGTTGACACTAGAGTTCCCATAATTCCTTGCCATTAGCTGTTCTTGCTGGGGCTTCTGGGAGCTGAAGTCAAAAATCTTTAGAGGGCCAAATCTTCACCTGCCACTGGAATAGCAAATATAT